AGAGCCAAACCTCCTTGCAGGGCAGGATGCAAGTGTTACAGCTCTTACAAAGAGCCAAACCTCCTTACAGAACAGGGTATAAGTGTCACAGCTCTTACAAAGAGCCAAACCTCCTTACAGAGCAGGGTATAAGTGTTACAGCTCTTACAAAGAGCCAAACCTCCTTACAGAGCAGGGTATAAGTGTTACAGCTCTTATAAGAGCCAAACTTCCTTGCAGAGCAGGGTATAAGTGTTACAGCTCTTCCTCTTCTGCTCTCTCTCTCCCTCAATGGTCTGCGGCAATCTGCTGAGGTCTTTGCTCTCCTGTTCTCTCTTCCTGGAAGGTCTGTGACAATCTGCCCCTAGGCTCTTTACTCAGGGATTTATATAGAAGCAGTTGTCCAATGAGCTGAAAGCTGAGCTGATTGGTCTATTTTCTTCTAAAAATAGACCAATCAAGAGCAGGATTGAAAATGGACCAATCAAGGATGCACTGGAGGAATCGCCAGTGTTTTCCCCTGCTAGGTCAGGTTCCTTTGGCTACTGGAGTCTCTGATGGGTGAGGGAAGCTCCCATCTGCTTACTCCAACCTGCCGGTTCTTCTGCTGGCTGCTGCCACCAAGACAGAGGTGGCAGGTCCCCAAGCCCTGCTTGGCTGAGCTGGCTGGGGTGCTACTTTTCCGGTATCACTAATACAGATTTTTTTAATTTTTATTTTTAAGAGGCATAGTCTCATTTTGTTGCCCTTGGTAAAGTGCTGTGGTGTCACAGTTCACAGCAGCCTCTAGCTCTTAGGCTTAGGCTATTCGGCTATTCTCTTGCCTGAGTCTTCTGAGTAGCTGGGACTACAGGTGCCTGCCACAACACCCAGCTATTTTTTTGTTGCAGTTTGGCTGGGGCCAGGATTAAGCCCACCACTCTTGGTATATGGGGCAGGTGCCCTAGTCATTGAGCTACAGGTGCCACCCAAATACAAAATTATTTTAAGGGAATTTATTTAGGTCAGTCAGCTTTTAGTACAAAGTCTGATGATTAAGTTCTTGAATTTACCATTGTGTGCTTACATTGCTACAAACTACCTAGTAAGGTTTCATAACTTTGGTATATCAGTGTCTTACAGTTATGTTTATGGTGAATGTGTGGGGTTGTCTTGCTGAGTGGTGTTCATAATTGTTTTTGGTTTTTTGTGGGGGGAGACAGAGTCTCCCTCATTCGCCCTGGGATTGAGTGCTCTGATGTCATAGCTCACAGCAACCTCAAATTCTTGGGCTCAAGTGATTATCTTTCCTCAGCCTCCCAAGTAGCTGGGACTCCAGGTGCCCACCACAACAGCTGGCTATTTTTTATTTATTTTATTTTATTTTGCAGTTTTTGGCTGGGGCTGTGTTTGAACCTGCCATCTCCAGCATATGGGGCCAGCACCCTACTCTTTTGAGCCACAGGCACCGCCCAGCTGGCTATTTTTTAGAGACGGGGTCTCACTCTTGCTTAGGCTGGTTTTGGACTCCTGAGCTCAGGCAATCCACCTGCCTCGGCCTCCCACAGTGCTGGGACTATAGGCATGAGCCACCATGCCCAGCCCTCCTGTTCATTATTGTTGTGGCAAGTTTTTGTATACTTTCAGGAGAGTGTCAGAGCTTGAATTACAGCAATGAACAGACATTCATTAATTTCCTATTAGACTTGGCAAGAGTGAAAGTGAAATCAGGGACACGTTAGTCCAAGTTTATGGGGATAATGCCATGAAGAAAATGACAGTGTACAAATGGATTAAATGTTTTTCTGAGGGGAGAGAGAGAAAGCATTACTGATAAAGAGAGGTCAGAGCAGGGGTCCTCAAACTTTTTAAACAGGGGGCCAGTTCACTGTCCCTCAAACCGTTGGAGAGCCGGACTGTGGGCCCCGGGGTGAGTCGGCTGCTAAACAGGACAGGCAGCGGCAACAAAAACACCCCGTGTGCTGGGTAAATGTCCTAGGTGGGCAGCATGTGGCCTGCAGGCCGTAGTTTGAGGACACCTGGGTCAGGGTGACCAGTATAATGAGCAGTCACTTTTCGTCACTGATGAAAATACTGCAAAAATTAGTCCAGTCGTATGTCGAAATCCTTGGCTGACTGTGGGAAACACAGCAGACCAAGTAAACATCAGTAGAGAAATGGGAAAATTTTAACTCAAAATCTTGGCCAACAACTCAAGGCTCTTATATCACAACCAAGCACCAGTTCACATGGCACTGTCTGGGAGGGAGTTTTTAGCCAGTAAACAAATTACTGTATTGGAGCACCCTCCATACTCATCTGATATGGCCCTAATGATTTTTTCTTTATTGGGAAGTAAAGGAAATACTAAAGACATTGGGCGTGGTGGCTCATGCCTCTAATCTTAGCACTCTGGGAGACGGAGGCAGGTGGATTGCCTGAGCTCAGGAGTTTGAGACCAGCCAGAGCTAGAATGAGAACTCATCTCTAAAAATAGCCGGGTGTTGTGGCGGGCGCCTATAGTCCCAGCTAGTTGGAAGGCTGAAGCAAGAAAATTGCTTGAATCTAAGAGTTTGAGCTTGCTGTGAGCTAAGATGCCACGTCACTCTACGGTGACAAAATGAGACACTATCTCAAAAAGAAGAGTAGTATGATGACAGCTTTGATGGCCATTCCAGAAAACAGTCTTCAGAATGACTTTGAAGGGTCAACTAGGCTCTGATGTTGGTGCATAGCTTCCTAAAGTAACCATAGTAATATTCAGCAATGAGGTATGTAGCACTTTTTCTAGACAAGTCCATGAACTTAATTGTTAGGCCTTAGTATACTCTGTCTGCTATAACAAAATACCATAAACTAAGTGGCTTATAACGTACAGAAATTTATTTGTCACAGTTCTAGGGAAATAAATAGATGGCTGGCCATCTTGCTGTGTTTTCACATGGTAGATAGGGGTGAGGAATCGCTCTGGGCCTTCTTTTATAAGGTCACCAATCCCATTCAGGAGATCTCTATCTTCATGACCTAATCACTTCCCAAAGATCCCACTTCCACCAGCCTGAGCAAGAGTGAGACCCTGCCTCTGCTATAAATAGAAAAATTAGCGAGGTTTTGAGGAAGGCACCTATAGCCCCAGCTATTTGGGAAGATGAGGCAAGAAGATCGCTTCAGCCCAGGAGTTTGAGATTGCTGTGAGCTATGATGCCACAGTACTCAACCCTAGGGTATCAGAGTAAAACTGTCTCAAAAAGAAAGAAAGTAAGAAAGAAAATAAAAGATCCCATTTCCAAATACCTTCACATTGGAGATTAGATTTCAAAATACAAAATTTTGGGGGAACACAGACATTCAGAAAACAGCAAGCTCTAAATGGGGAACATAATGGGGTTCATGGGTCAGATAGAACTGGGAAAGAATTCCTCTTTGAGATTTTCTAGGGTATAATATATACTGAAATACTGAGAAGTCTTGCAATAAAGAAACTCATTTAACTGGATTTAATCCAGCCTTCCTCAAAGTTTATTTAGCTATAGAACTCTTTAGTAATACCCATCAACATCTTAGGAAGAGGAAGTTCTGTTGATCAAACTTTGGGAAAACTGCTCAAACTATTTTAATATCTTTTGTCGTTATACTAATTGGTAAATATTATGTGTGAAAATTAAGTCTTATTTTATTTATTTATTTTTAATTTTTAATTTTTTTTTTTTTTGAGACAGTCTCACTTTGTTCCCCCTGGTAGAGTGCCATGGTATTATAGCTCACAGCAGACTCAGACTCCTGGGCTCAAGCAATTCTCTTGACACCCAGGTCGCTGGGACTACAGGCACCCATCACAGCGCCTGCTATTTTTACAGATGAGGTCTTGCTCTAGGTCAAGCTGGTCTTGAACTTGTGAGCTCAGGTGATCCATCCATCTTGGCCTCCCGGAGTGTTAGGATTACAGGCATGTGCCTCCACACCTGGCCCTCAAGTTTGATTTTAAAAGATTGTAGATTCATAAAAGTTTGGTTCAGCATAAAAAGCACAAGGCCTCCTAGTAATTTTGACTACTACAATATTGGTTATCTTTGGCCAAATATTAGGTATTTTAAAACTTGCATATGTTTCTGGATGTTCATTTGGAGAGCACTGCTCAAGTATCTTGCTGCTTTTGAAAAGTTCTAAGCAAGGGCTTGCTGTTCCAGATACATGGAATGTGGGGTAGTAATAGGAAATGCTAGTTAACTTCTTTAAGCTTATTATTTTTATGGACCTCTAACACTTCAGCTGTCATTTGTTATTACCTGTCTTTCTAGAATCTTGTTATTTTTAGTGCATCTCTTTGGATTTTCCTTCTAGAGTCTCCTTATATATAAAGCAGGTAATGACTTATAAGTTACATCCCATTTTAAACCTTAAGTGTACAGCTGGGCGTGATGGCTCATGCATGTAATCCTAGCATTCTGAGAGGCTGAGACAGGTTGATTGTCTGTGTTTACAGGTTTGAGACTAGCCTGAGCCAGAGCCAGACCCCTACCTCTAAAAATAGCTGGGTGTTGTGGCGGGTGCCTGTAGTCCCAGCTGCTTAGGAGGTTGAGGCAAGAGGATTGGTTGAGCCCAAGAGTTTGGGGTTGCTGTGACACCATGGCACTCCACTGAGGGTGACCAAGTGAGACTCTGTCTCAAAAAAACAAACAAGAAAAAAAAACCTTAAGTGTTTGATTAAAATGATTGGCAGGGCAAAGCGCTGTGACATGTGCCTGTGATCCCAGCTGCTAGGGTGGCTGAGGCAGAAGGATTGCTTCAGCCTGGGAATTCTGTTTCTGTGAGCTATGACCATACCTGTGAATAGTCACTGTCCTCCAGCCTGGGCAACGTAGCAAAACCGTGTCTCTTAAAAAAATGATAGTAATTGTTAGATTATTGAGAAGTTTAATCTCCTCATTAATATGGCTGCTAGTGATTAAAGGAAATTTAAACATGTCTTTGAATAAAAAGACAAATATGTTAATTTTAGGAGATAAGGGGGAAGGAAGACTGCAGCTGAACATTGGTATTTATTTTAAAAATAATTTTAATTTTTGATTATTAGTAAATAATTGTATATTTTTATTGGGTCCATTGATGTTTTGATATAGACATACAATGTGAAAGCAAGTCAGGGTAATGGTGGTATCCATCACCTCAGGCATTTAACATTTCTTTGTAAAACACTGGTATTTAAATAATCATTTCATTTTCTTTTAGGAGCTTGAACGGGAGATCACATTTCAGGGTGACAGCGCCATTTATTACTCCTATTATAAAGATATGTTAAAGGCACCTTCATTTGAAAGAGGTATGATGATCATAGTTATATCTTTAATAACAATATTTTTCTAAAATAAATCATTGTTCTCTATTGGAGCCTTTGTGGGAGTTTGTGTTAGAATATAGGTATTTCTCCTTATTGTACTTAACAAAAGTATTAGAAAAATAAGATGGATATTATATTTTCAGATTTCTTGATAATATCAAATATATAATGACTACTGAATGACATGTTTATTTAATTATTTGAAAAACAATAAATATTCTGGAGAAAAATCTTTCTGCCTTTAAGGTGTTTACGAACTGACACACAATAACAAGACTGTATCTCTGAAGACTATAAATGCAGTGCAGCACATGTCTGTATATCCAGAACTCATCGCCAGCGTTTTATATCAAGCAACTGGAAGCAATGTATGTCTTTTTCTTTTGACCTTAATATTTATTTTTTCAAACATTTTTGTTTTTATATATTTTATTTTTATTTTTTTGAGACAGTCTCACTTTGTCACCTTTGGTAGAGTACTGTGGTGTCGACCTCAAACTCTTGGGCTCAAGCAATCCTCTTGGCCTTGGCCTCCCAAGTAGCTAGGACTACAGTGTCTGCCACCATGCCCGGCTATTTTTAGATGGGGGTGTCACTCTTGCTCCGGCTGGTCTTGAACTCCTGAGTTCAAGCAGTCCACCCGCCTCAGTTTCCCAGAGTGCTAGGATTATAGGCGTGAGCCACCATACCTGGCCTATTTTCTCAAACATTTTTGAGTCAAGTAATTTAATGTCATCCTATTATCTTACTCTCTTTTTTCCATTTTAGGAGGTTATTGAGCCAGTGTATTTTTATATTGGCATTGTTTTTGGATTGCAAGGAATATATGTTACTGCTTTATTTGTTACAAGTTGGCTTATGAGTGGAACATGGCTAGCAGGAATGCTTACTGTTGCGTGGTTCATTATTAACAGGTAAGAATTGTGTTTCTAATTGGTTTTTTACAATTTTTTGTGGCTGTGGTAATCAGTCTCTGAAGATGCTCCCATTCCTGAGATTTCCTACCCTAGGCTTGAAGCCTGTAGTTCAAGCGGCTAGGGCACCAACCACATACACCAGAGCTGGCGGGTTCAGATCTAGCCCAGGCCTACCAAACATCAATGACAACTACAACCAAAAAAAAAAAAAGATTTCCTACCCTAATCCCCAGAACCTGTGAATATGATGAGATATCATTACTGTGATTGTGATATGTTGTATATATAGCACAGTTGACCTTAAGGTGGAGGATTACCCTGTGAGCCTGATCTAATCACATGGAACTTTAAGAGCTTTCTCCAACTGGTACAGTAAGCAATGTAAGATATTTGAAACATGAGAAGGAGTCAGTGCACCATTGCTGGCTTGAACCAAGGAGGAAATCAATTCTGTCAATAACCAGTGAGCTTCTATTGTAGGCCTCCTGTGAGAACTATACCCTGACTGATGCCTTCATTTTAGCTTAAGGAGCCACTGAATCCTAAAGAGGTATCATATACATCACTATTAAGTTCACCACTAAGGATAAGGGCTCTACATCCCCTTTGGTGATCAAAGAAGCCTCGGTTCTTAAATAGTGAGTGAAAAGAGAATAGGGGGATAGGGCTTTTTTTGAAATGGAGAGCTGTCTCATTTGAGACAGTCATAACATGTTCCTAGCATTGGTCAGTGTTATACATTTATTTCTTATATAATAGGTATTCTCCTTCCTCTCCATAGCTTCCCCCATAGCACTTAACATGATAAAATTTTTAAAAATGAAATGTATCTTCTGTTACATATTTTCTTTTAAGTAGTTACCTAAATAAAAGTATGAAGCTTTCAAGTTATTGAGATACAGCATTAAGTGCTCTATCTCCTACTGGGCTTTGTTTATATTTAGCATCACATGTTGACAACAATTTGATATGAAGGACTTTAAAAATTTTCCTTAGATGTTTTCAAGGATAGCTATTCAGTTTAATGAATTAAGCATAGAGATGAACCAAACGTTGTTATTACAGAGCAATATAGGTACATTGTGGACTAGCAAAAGTAAAAAAATAACTACACTCCTACCACCTAGAGATCCCTCATCACTGTTTATACCTTGGTGCATATTGGTTTTTATCATTTTCTATATGAGAGAGTGTGTGTGTTTATAAATGTGTTTGTTTTACCAAAACAAGATAAAGTACATATATGTATTTATGTCTATACTGTTTTATATGGTGCTTTTTCTTTCTTTCTTTCTTTTTTTCTTTTTTTTAGAGACAGAGTCTCACTTTGTCACTCTCGGTAGAGTGCTGTGGCATCACAGTTCACAGCAACCTCCAGCTCTTTGGCTTAAGCGATTCTCTTGCCTCAGCCCCCCACCCCCCCGCCCCACCCCGAGTAGCTAGGACTATAGGCGCCTGCCACATGCCTGGCTATTTTTTTTGTTGTTGCAGTTTCGCTGGGGCAGGGTTTGAGCCCACCACCTCTGGTATATGGGGCCGGCACCCTACTCACTGAGCCACAGGCCTCACCCTAATATGCTGTTTTCTTTATTCAGCAGTCTCTACCTTTCTGTTTCAATAAGTTTTTAATCTCATCTAGCCCATATTATGATTTCTCTAGTCAGCCCCAAAATACCCTATATAGCTGGTTTATCCAAACCAGTGTTTAATACAGGACTATATATTGCACCTGGTAACATACCATTTCTATGGTAATGACTTGTTGAAGAGACCAAGTTTGTGTCCTTCTGGTGTCATTTACCTTTTACCTTTATCTATTATGTTTTTGTAACCTGGAAGTTATATGTAAAGGTGTGATAGTTTAAGATAAAACAATTGTGGCTAGAATGTTTTGTAGATGATAACGTTTTTTATGTCCCGTGATGTTAGAAGTTAACATCAACCCCTGATAAAGTTGAGATTGAACACTGGTTTAAGGGATAACAGTCCCCCAATATATGAGTAGTCATATTTGTCATGTTTTTTTTCTAATTACTAGAAAATAATCTGTGGTTTTCTTTGGCACCAATGAATGGTTTTTTTGTTTGTTTGTTTATTGTTGTTTTACCATTAACCATTTACCTAAGAGTTGTAACATCAATTTATAGTCTTTGCCTTAAATAGTAATTAAATTCATTTTAATTCTTTTTTTTCTTTTTTGAGACAGAGTCTCACTTTCTTACCCCCAGTAGAGTGCCTGTGGCATCACAGCTCACAGTAACCTCAAACTCTTGGGCTTAAGCGATCCTCTAGCCTTAGCCTCCCAAGTAGCTGGGACTACAGGCATCTGCCACAACTCCCGGGTATTTTTAGAGATGAGATCTCGCTTTTGCTCAGGTTGTTCTTGAACCTGTGAGCTCAGGCAGTCCACCTGCCTCAGCCTCCCAAAGTGTTAGGAATATGGGTGTGAGCCACCGCACCTGGCCTCATTTTAATTACCAGTTCTAAATAAGATTTTCTTTTCTTTTTTTTTTTTGGCCCGGGGTGGGTTTAAACCCGCCACCTCCTGCATATGGGGC